ATATAGGTTTCCCAATCTTAAGTCTGATTGTAACCATACATCTATAAGCTTTAATTAAACCCAATGTAAATCGGCTACTCCAACCTCATTAATCAAAATTCTAAACCTAAACTATATGGCACACATAATAATTTAAAACAATCAAGTCCACCTAAGTACACAAAACTTAATACAAATAATCCATACAAACTGTAAAATAAAACATGTCATTTAAATCACCAATTAATCAAATAATTAAACCAAATAACAATCTAACAATTTATTTAAAATAAATTCACTAAATACCAATTAAACAATTAATTTTAAAATAAATAAACAAATACAACTTAAATAAATACTCACTTAATCAATTAAGAAATCAAGCACACAATTCAGATAATTAAATAAAAATACAATAAAATCCTCAATCAAAATTCCCAAATTAGCCTTTTGAATACTAGGGGTATTACAATATATAACATCACCATATTGAATTGAGTTAGATTTATGTGTGACTATTAGTTTTTTAGCACTATGTAAATACCTTTTTTTATGATAAAGTGGTGAATGTGGCAATTAATATTAAACTTTGCTAATTTTTTTGTTTTGATAGTGAAGGTGGTTAGTGTGGCAATTAATATTAAACTTTACCAAATTTTTTCCAAAGATATGTTAAATAATTTATACCTAAGTATATGTTTTTTTTATTTTTTTTTTATTTTTTAATATTTGGAAGAAAAAAAAGAAAAAAAAGAGATGTGACTCTTTTTATTATTTTTGGAAACATCAAGTGTTTTGTTTGTTATCTAAAGTTAATTCAAGTGATTTTAATTTTGGTTTAAATTCTTTAAATTAACATGTTAAAGTGTTTTTAACATATTTTTATTTCAAATAATAACATAAATGATAGGTTGAATTGAGTTATGTTTATATGTGACATCACTTAGTCTACATTATGTGTATACCATTTTGAGGGTGAAAATAGTTTATTTTGTTAATTTAGCTATCAACAATTTTTACTATTTAAGTGGTGATGTTGCCTTTTTACAAATGGTAATGTTACTTTTTAAACTTTTATGATGTTACTTATAAATGGTGGTAAAATGCTATTTATAAATGGTGGTGTAATTGGTATCGTATTTGTTAGTTAAAGAATGATGTAGACAAATATGGACCACTTAAAAGTTATTGCTAGAAACAGCATGGGACCTGCATAGGATTCGCGCCCTCGTTAAAAATGATGGACATATGTCACATGAATAGCTACTAAGTTAAAGAATCGCATGCCAGGCCAAAATTCTCTTGGACGCTCAGGTTTTGGTACCAAAGCTACAGTGAAAGGTTGACGAATATGGAGACACACTTCTTACTCTCACTTTTTTTTTTTTTTTCAGAATGCTTTAATTTGATAAAAATAATGATGAAATTATTGACATGCTTGTGGTGGTTTTGTCTTCGTAATTAGAAATTCTCTCTCTCTCTCTCTCTCTGAAACTAGGTCATAAAGAGAGTGGTGCATCAAGAACATACCATGGTCTCAGTCATTTCTTGAAAAGCATTCACACAGATGAATATACGCGTTTGCAGCTCAAAAGGAAGTGAAAGATAATTTTAGCACTATATCATGTTCTATCTAATTTGATAAGAAATTATTACATGATCATATTACAAGTCTCGATTAATCACAATTCACACTTACGTGTTAATTTTATTTAAAATTTTAATTACATGTCATATTGTAATTGACCGAGACCATATAATTTTGGATCATATAATAATTTCTTTTAACTTTATCGGATCACTCATTTTCAAACTTTTTACTAGCCATTAGAAATTTAGAACTCTTCTATGAAAAACTTCCTTGTGCCCATTGCACAGTGCAGCGAATTTTTTTTCCCATGTCACACCCCAAGAAGGCAAAACAGACGAAGAAGAAAAGGAAAAATTAGTAACAATTAAGTTACTATTTTCACTTTAAAGATCAACGACTTTTATATGTCAATTAATTATTAGTAAGACCATACTTATTTGTTAAATTTGTGTTTATCATTTGTGATTTGTGATTATTATCCTATATGTTGTTTGATAAAACTGAAAATTTTAAGAACGGAATTTTAAGTGTTAAAATTTTTAAGTGGTAATTAAAAAATAAATATTTTTTGATATTTTTTTTGAATTTTCAGTGTTCAGTGATAAGTAATGTCCTACTCATTTAAAATTTTATCTCATTTTAAGTGGTGTTTACCATTTTCAATGGTATTCAAATTTCGTTATCAAATGCACTTAATTGGATAAACGCTTAATCCATTCAGAATTAAGCGTTGAATTGAATAATATTATTATTTTCCATTTAATAGTTAAATTTATCTCTCATATTCTTAAGATTTAGTTAATTAATGCATATTACAATAGAAATTTTAATTATGACTAAATTAAGTTAAATTCAATTAAAAAATCTTGTGTATATTCCCGTTAAAAAGAAGACGAAGAAGAAGAAGAAAATTATATGAAAAAATCAATGGTATTTTTGGTATTGCTCTTATTATTAAATTGCTCATTGTCTCAAGTATGTATGATTATTTCTCTGAGGTGTTCATTTAGCTATTGACTAACATAAGAGGGCTCTTGTCACATTCGAACCCGTTGCTTTTTCTCTTGCATGTTACATGTTTCCAAAGTTTATTAGCAACATTTTGAAGAAAGTTTACAATTAGCAACAAGATATATAGAGAGAGAGAGCTTTATCGACTAGCATGTTACATGTTTTCGCGCACAATCTTGTGTGTTGACCAAAATATGAACAATATGTTTGCACCAAAATATAAACCAAGCCAAATTATAACACCTAAAATGAGGGACCAATCAAAGACAAATAAGTTACAAGCAATTATAAATTAAATAAAAGAAAATAGTACTTTCTTTTTTTTTTTTTCCTTAGAGCACATATAACTTTTTTTTTAATTTTTTTTTATTTTTAGAGTACATATATCGGTCCGACAACACACACATTATTCAAGTTAAGAGTGTGATTCGAAAGCGAGATCTCAAGGACTTACCTTTTGGATCCCTACTAACACCTATATGTCCCTAGAGATAAGAAAATAATACTTACTTTAACTGAAATCTAATACTAAACTTTTTGCATTCCGCATAATGTACTGTGATGAAAAATCTTAAATCGAAGACTTAAATTCGTATAATATTACATGATTGATATTATTAATGCTATTAAATACTTTTCTAAGAAAGAAGACTCTAAAAAAGTTGTAAAGAAACTACAAATAATGATAAATTTTGAAAGGAACCCATAAGGATATTTTATTTGACTATTTTTTTTTTTTGGTTTGACCAAACACACTCTCTTAGTCCACTAATTGGAGATTTAATATTGTGATGACATCACGAACATAAGCACTAATTTCATATGCACTTATTTGCCTTTAGAGGGTCATTTTCAAATTTGAAAGTAGCTTCTACACATTTGGTCCACAAACCATTAATTACTTAACTGTAAATTTAATACAAATATTTAAATAATAATAATAATAATAATGCAAATACATTTTCAAATCCCTTTTTGCCTCTTTGTCCATATCACACGTGCGTGAAAATTATAGATGTATATATCATGCTAATTATACAGGGCCATAGGACATTGAAGGAGATATTGATGTGAGAAAATGCGTGGACAAGAAAATTAACATACAAAGGGAGCACAAGTCTATATATCCATTTCATCGTACATACATATATGTATGTATATATGAAAATAATATATTGTTGATATAAATATAAATAGATAAAGACCTTACCAAAATGTTATGTGTACATACAATGACAGAAAGCTATATAGTTGAGTGATAATGTATGTATGTATATATGAAAATAATATATTGTTGATATAAATATAAATAGATAAAGACCTTACCAAAATGTTATGTGTACATACAATGACAGAAAGCTATATAGTTGAGTGATAATTCATTATCTTTTAAAATGACAGGTTGGAATTCTTGTAAGTACAAATAAGTTAGCTAGTGTGAACAGATATTGTATTAGCCTCGGCCAATCACGGCACACATTAACTAAAGCCCAACCAATCACTAGACTCGCCAAACATGTTGGCTTAGATTCAGTTAGCCAGTGACATGTATTCATTCTGAACTACAACATAACAATTTAATTCCTAACAACATGAATCAAAGCACAAACCTTAATTTCTTCGTTGCCATGTGATTTATATCAACGCTAGTCACTTGACTTGTGTAAAAAGTTAATTGTGATTTGGTGTAACGAGTGAACGCTTATCCATTTATTTAAAAATTTAAATTATTGAATAGTACGATATACCTACCTATTTATATTCAATTACTTATTTATTTAGATTCGATGTAAGACAAATGACCCTTATTACATTCTTTTCTATCCAAATTTGCAACGCTGGGCGTTGCGGCTCGGGCCACCCTGCCTACCCAAGTGAGTCACCCGGGCACCTTTTGGACAGGACGTTTGACGTGCTATCGAATTAAGGATTGGGTCTGGCTGTGATACCAACTGTAACGGATCGGTTCAAACTGTTAGGTAATACTCCATACCTACTCATTTATACTCAATAACTTTTTCATTAAGATCCGATATGAAATAAATGACCCTTATTACACCTAGACTAATTGATTGCGTCTGCTGAAATTATCCCAGTAAAAGGCTAGTGTCTCCTCACATTCATTTAAACTTTGAATTTTAATTTCTGAGCTAATGGGTATTTCCTTAACTTTCAGACATGTTTTTATTTATTTATTTATTTAAATTTAATAAATGGATATATTTTGTACAGCCTGATGTGGATATACTCATTTGTCAGTTTTTTATTTTTTTATTTTATCATTACTCTTCATTTGTGTGGAACAATTATCACCACCACATGATGCATATCCATGGGGTTTCATTCATCATATGGACATCTAAATTTCAAAAAGTAAGTAAAACTAATTAAATATATATATATATACACATTTAGACTATATAAAAAGTCTATAAATTCACACTTTTGTACATGGGAATTTTTCAGTTACATCGCCACATCAAAAATAAAAAAATAAAAAAAGAAAGAAAGAAATTATATTTACATTATACGGAGTACTTGTTATATATACGACATGAAAGGGAAATGAAGAGGTAAATCCAAATCCAAACTCAAGCATCAATTTACATATTCAAAGGGTAGCTTATTACCAAACCTGATAAGCTAGCTTCTTGAATTAGGCTTTGATAAAGGTTGCAACATTTGGAACCAAATGGATTGCATCTCTCTAGCAGCAATCCCAAAAGAAAGGCTCTTCAGAGCAGAATTCACCATCGGAAAACTCGGCTCCGGTCAGCTGCACCGGCAAGCTGCAATGAAACCCTTCAATTTGATGACAAAGCTGGTCGAGATAGAGATCAGGCAATTCAAGAAATGGATCATCAATCTCTCTTAGAGCTGATGTTGATGACTCTCTAGTGTCATGAAATGTCTCTGTAACATCTTGTTGGGACAGGGGAGTCATCAGCTGGCTCAGGCTCTGGTTCAGCTCGGCTTCGGCTTCAAGGCTTCTCGGACGACGACCAGCCTCTAGGGCGGCTGCTTTGGCCGCAGCCGCTTGGATATCCTTCGGTGAATTGGAAGCCGGCCGGGGCAGATCATGAGCTAGCTCCGGGAAGTTGAGATAAGCCGAGTGGCCTTTGATTGCAATGGCGGCTACATCGTGGGCCCGAGCCGCCATTTCCGGCGTGGCGAAAGTCCCGAGCCATATTCTTGATTTCTTCTTCGGCTCCCGGATTTCGGACACCCATTTGCCCCAACTCCGCTTGCCTACGCCGCGATAAGCCGGATGCTTCCTATAATTATAACTATTCTTAGCCATTTTGCTTGTGTCAATGTCATTTTCGGCTTCTTGAACTCTCTTGGAGCCGGAGGAGCAAGCCGTGGCGGTGGTGGAGGAGGAAGCGGTGGCGTTGGTGGAAGAGGAAGAAGTGCTATGATTTTCACACTCTATATTGAAAGTTTCTTCCATTGTAGAGGGGACCTCTCTCTCTCTCTCTTTTTAATAGTATTAGTAGAACCAGTGGGGAATAGAGTTAGGAAAATGAGCTTCTTATAGATCTTTTTCAACAGAATGGAATAAAGAAATGGGGCCTAAAATAAAGAAATGGGGCCTAAAATAAAGAGGCGGTGTACTTGGCTTCATTCTTGTTTTTTTGGAAGGTATTATACACTATGGGTACTTTGTTGCTAGGTTGATTAATCAATTTATTATTATTATTTTTTTGTTTGATTATTGATATTATTGTATGGTTTGGTGTAACAGTTCTTGTTTATTGACCTTTTTACATTAGCATGAATTAATGATAAAATATTTCTGATTTACCACGTGATTAATTGTTGTAAAATGAAGAGAAGACCAGAAGAAAATTTCTTATTATATACTACTTCCGTCCCAAAAATAGTGTCAGTTCAATTTGTAAGGGTCACGATTTTTTAAAAGTGACACTTTTTATGGGACGAATAGAGTAATATGCATGTACAGAATACGAAAATAATAATGAATTAACTATAGTATCTATATTTGAGCCACGAGCCGTATAAAATAATTGATAAACTAGCACATGGCACAGTTTTACTTTCAACTTTTATGGTGGATCAATTATAAACTTTTAGGTGATATTTTGGATGGTGTATTTTTTTTTTGATAAGTATGTATTTTTTTTTTATAAGTATATTTTAGATGGTGTATTAAAATAAATTTAAAGAATTTTGGTATCACAAAGACCACAAGGGCGTGTAATGACGCAGTATTATATATGTTGTTTTTCATTTAAAGCACATAGATTTGTATTTATTTATACGACTATCAATTATTGTGGAAAACCCCACTCAAAATTTCTAACATCATTGATAGGAATGACAATTTGACCTGCCCTCGCGGTTATCCGCCCCACCCCCTTTTTGACAGTTTTGAGGGACCATTTTGCTTATATGAGTAGAAATAGTTTCATGTAATAAAAACCCGCGCGGGAAGATCACCGCGCACCGTCCCGCCCCGTTTAGATAGGCAAATTACTTAAATATCTTTATTTCTGATAAGGAAAAATATAAACCTACCATACTCTCGGTTCAACAAGTAAGAATAATCCTACTATAACTGGAGGAGGTCAAAAGGATTAAATCATATCCCAACAAATCTGGTAATAAATCTCTTATGATTTCGCACAAGCGGAAGATAAGGTCAACCATCGACATTAGCGGAACGATTTTGATTCCAATCGACAGCCACAAATAGGGCATCAAGCCATTAAAGGAGGTATGACGTAAAAACTATTATTAATCACTGCCTTCTTTTTAGACCTCCGTGACTAATTTGATTGTCGGAGAGCTCTTGGCAGGCACCACACCGGTGCCATCACGGTTCATCGATCTTCTCCTCTCTTCTTTGCAGGAAAACGATATCGTATCGGACTGCGCGAATTTCAACCTCAACAATTTCAATAGTATATATATTTACCACTATATATTAAATACCCTATATATCAATATTAATGTAACAAATGAATTTGATTAAAATGAAGGTTGCAATGGTGAAGAATTGAAGATAAAGGGAAAAAAAAAAGAACAAATCTATTTTAACAATAAATAATTTATGGTCTTAAATGGGGAGGGGCGGGTTCCCGCGGGGGTAAAAATGTTAAACGGTTACGGAGATGGGGTGAAAAGTTCCTCTGTTTTTACAGTTTTGGGTGGGGACGGAAGCGGGGTTTTTAAACGGTTGTGAGGGCGGGGGAAGGTACACCCGCCCCCGTTGCCATCTCTAATCATTTACGAGCCTTGTGTTTTGGAAATATTTGGTAATTTGCATTTAACCACTCTTTAATTTTTAATTTTTTTTTTCTTCTTCTTCTAATATCATACATACATACATATATATATATACTAGTAAAAGGCATTAGATGAATGTTTTCTATCTTATCTAATTTATATTTTCATATACTTTTTAATGGTTTATAGTGTTATAAAAAAAACATAGGCAAAACAGTTTCAGATCCAGAATGCCTTAGAAAGTAATAATTGTCACAGTTGATCTTAGCCAAAAGGCCAAAAAAGGTAATTATTATTTCTTTAGGTTTATAGTTTTATAAGAGGTTTCTATATAATTATTTTTACTTTATCTTAGCCAAAAGACCATGAAAGGTTAGTCAAAAGACTGACCCAAAAAAATTTAGTACTACACTTGATCTTAGCCAAAATGGCAAGAAAGGTGTGATTATTATATCTTTAGCTCTATAATTTTATAAGAGGCTTCCCTGTAATCTTTTTTTACTTAAAACCAATGTGGGACAAGAAAAATGAATTTTATTAGGTAATTTGTAATTTGAATTAAACTCTTTAAATTAATTTTTATAAATTTTATTAGGTAATTTAAATTTGAATTAAATTCTTTAAATAATTTTTAGGTAATTTTTTGTTTATAAAAACACTTTTTTTTTATATTAATAAATAAATACTGAAAGCCAAAAGGTCGAGAAAGTAAGTACTACACTTGATCTTAGCTAAAAGACCTACAAAGGTTAGTCAAAAGGCTGACCCAAAAAAATTTAGTACTACACTTGATCTTAGCCAAAAGGCCGAAAAATGAATTTTATTAGGTAATTTATAATTTGAGTTAAACTCTTTGAATTAATTTTTATAAATTTTATTAGGTAATTTGTAATTTGAATTAAACTCTTTAAATAATTTTTAGATAATTTTTTGTTTATAAAAACTCTTTTTTTATATTATTAATAAATAAATACTTAAAGCCAAAAGGCCGAGAAAGTAGTACTATACTTGATCTTAACCAAAAAACCTAGAAATGTTAGCCAAAAGACTGACCCAAAAAAATTTAGTACTATATTTGATCTTAGCCAAAAGGCCAAAAAAACGTGTGATTATTATTTCTTTAAATTTATAGTTTTGTAAGAGACTTCCATATAATCCTTTTTACTTAAAACTAATGTGGGACAAGAAAAATAAATTTATTAGATAATTTGAAATTTGAATTAAACACTTTAAATTAATTTTTATAAACTTTTTTAGGTAATTTGTAATTTGAATTAAATTCTTTAAATAATTTTTAGATAATTTTTTTGTTTATAAAAACTCTTTTTTTTTTTTTTTTTTTTTTTTTAATAAATAAATACTGAAATACTGAATTACTGAAATACTAAAACACTTCGTACATTTAATAAAAGTATATATATATACACTAGTTAAAGGCACGTGCGATACACATGTTTAATGTTTTGTAACTTATCGATATTCATTGTATAATATTGTCGGATATTAATAAATATTATTTTATATTAATAAAAAAATACTGAAATATTTTGAAATTCGCAGTAGAGTTGGAGTTTTGTAAAGTAATAAATTGTTTTAGGTTTTTGTATTAATACTGAAATATTTATATTTTATTATTTATTAATTAAGAAATATTTTTTTATTTCTATATTGAAATTGGTGGTAGAATTTGAGTTTTGCAAAGTAATATATTCTTTTATGTAATTTGAATTTTATTAAGTAATATTTAAAAAATTATATATATATATATATATATATATATATATATATATATATATATAATAGTATAGATTTGAATTTTATTAGGTAATTTGTAATTTGAATTTTATTAGGTAATTTAAAATTTAGTATAATTTTAAATTTGCGATAAAGTTATTTAATTTTCTTTAAATATATCCTTATTTAATTAGATTTCTTTTTATTAAATAACTCATAATAAATAGATAAATACATGTTATATGTGATAGAGTTTTAAATAAAATAAAATAATTAATTTGTTGTAGAATTTTATAAAAATTATTTTATTTTCTTTAAATATATTCATAATAAATGGAAAATTAAAGGTTATATGTGATAGAGTTTTACAGAAAATAAAATAGCTAATTTGTGATACAGTTTTATAGAAATTATTTTATTTTTTTAAAATAAATTCGTGTCTAATTATTTTTATTTTATTAAAAACCTTATAATAAATAGATAATGTGACAGAGTTTTATAGAAAATAAAACAGCCAATTTGTGGTAAATATTATAGAAATTATTTATTTTTTTTAAATATATTATTTTTTAATTATATTTATTTTATTAAAAAACTTATAATAAATAGATAAATAGGTAATAGGTGTTAGAGTTTTATAGAAATACTTTTTATATCAATTAATAAATATTTTTTTATATTAATAATTCTTGTCTAATTAGATTTTCTTTATTAAAAAAACTTATAAAAAAAGATAATTTGTGGTATAGTTTTAAAATTTTTATTTTACTTTTTATATCATTTAATAAATATTTTTAATATTAATTATTCCTGTTTAATTAGATTTTCTTTTATTAAAAAACTAATAATAAATATTTAGGTAATATGTGTTAGAGTTTTATAAAAACTCTTTTTATATCAATTAATAAATATTTTTTATATTAATAATTTGTCCCTAATTAGATTTCATTTCATTATAATACTCATAATAAATAGATAAATAAATAATTTGTGTTAGAGTATTATAGAAAGTCTTTTAAAATTTCTTTTTATATTAATAAATAATTTTTTATATTAATAATACTTGTCTAATTAGATTTTTCTTTTTTAAAAAACTCTAAATAATTAGATAATCAGGTAATTTATATTAGAGTTCTTATAGAAACTCTTTAAATATATCTTTTAATGTGATATAGTTTTATTGAAAATAAAATACTTAATTTATGGTACAGTTTTATAGAAATTATTTTATTTTCTGTAAACATATCCTTGTCTAATTCGATTTCCTTTTTTTAATAAACTTATAATAAAAGATAATTTATGATAGAGTTTTAGAGAAATTATTTTATTTTTTATATTAATAATTTTTTTTCTAATTAGATTTTTTTTTTTGTTAAAAAACTCATAATAATAAATAGATAAATAGGTAACTTGTGTTAGAATTTTATAGAAACTTTTTAAATATATTATTGTCTAATGTGATTGAGTTTTATTGAAAATAAATTGGGTAATTTATGGGAGAATTTTATAGAAATTACTTTATTTTATTTAAATATATCCTTGTCTAATTAGATTTACTTTAATTAAAAAAAACTC